TATAAGAAAGAAAATGTAAAAAATGTTTCACAATACTTTGAAACATTTTTACTCGCTTGACTCAGCATCTTGCAATGGTGCTTTTTCTAAGATCTTGTGAAAGTTTGTAAGCTAACCCTGGTGAATGTATTTGAGGCGAAGTACTTGGAAAAGTACTTCGGTCAGTAATGTACAGAGTTTCTGGGGGTTTTTGCAAGTTAAAAAGGTACTTATCAAATAATTTAACAAGTAAAAGTACTAGATAAGTACTTCATCAAGTATTTGGCAGGTAACTTAGTAAGTACTTGCGAAATATATGCAAGTATCTGAAGTTTTTCCAAGTACTTGGCACACATTAAATCTAAAAATGCTTGACAAATGGTTAACCAAGTACTTTAGAAAATTTACAAGTAGCTAAGTGCTTGATCTAGAGTAGATTCGCTAGGGAAGATCATAACTCAGGATTTGGGGTACAAAAAGTTTCACCGTAGAATACAAGCTATGACGAAATGAAAAACTCTCCGGAGAAAACTCAGTTCTGAATAATGAAGCGCACCAACGGCATCAGAGCATTTGACATGCATTATCAAAAAGTTTTGCTTAAATATTCACTAACGAGGGAACCTATGGAGATGAAGCACTCCGGTTTCGTTCGTTCTTGCGTGGATCGATAGGGCATGTGGAGTGGGTAAAAAGTCTAAGAGGGTTCGGGCGGAGACTTTTCCCTTGGGGAGTCATGGGCATTTTACGCATTTTCTCACGTCGGCGGAAAACAGGCAAAATTAAAAAAATCACAATTCTGTCCAGGAAAGTCGTAGAGGGCTGAGAGTTTTTTTGGTGGTGAGGATAAAGGTTGTCTTCATATCCTGCAAGTTTCAGAGTTCTATCATTTTCTCTCACTCAGAGGCAGAACTTTTCAGAAAGGCAAGGAAACGCAGTACGAAAGATACGAAGAAAAAGATAGCACCACGCATACGAAGAAAAAGATAGCACCACGCACTCTTTCGTACTGCGTTTCCTTGCCTTTCTGAAAAGTTCTGCCTCTGAGTGAGAGAAAATGATAGAACTCTGAAACTTGCAGGATATGAAGACAACCTTTATCCTCACCACCAAAAAAACTTTCAGCCCTCTACGACTTTTCTGAACAGAGTTGTGATTTTTTTAATTTTGCCTGTTTTCCGCTGACGTGAGAAAATGCGTAAAATGCCCATGACTCCCCAAGGGAAAAGTCTCCGCCAGAACCCTCTTAGACTTTTTACCCACTCCACATGCTCTATCGATCCACGCAAGAACGAACGAAATCGGAGTGCTTCATCTCCATAGGTTCCCTCGTTGGTGAATATTTAAGCAGCATTATTCTACACATATCAATTTCTATGTTTTTCCTTACGATTATTCTGTTTATGACTTTTCTGCCATGAGTAACCTTTTATCTGTTCTGCGTTCAGAGGGGGGGGGGGCGGGGTGAAATACTGCCTGCCATTTTCAGCTATTTTGCTACAGCTAATACGTCCCTTCCTATAAGGGTAGTAGTCTACTACCCTTATAGGAAGGCCTATAAGGGTAGTAGACTACTACCCTTATAGGAAGGGACGTATTAGTATTACTTGCTACTACTAGTAGAAGAAGTTCATAATATCCGTGCTTGCAATGTTTGAGTTGAACTTTCATGTGAGATATCGAAGGTCGCTGTAAATTCCGTAGATGCAGAGAAAAGTAAGGACAGATTGCCTCATTAAAGGAAAATCCGAAACTTGGTATCTTTAAAAAGGTATTTAGAACTTAACTTTTGTAGAGGTATCTAAGGATTCTATGTGATTTTCTATGCAGTATGTGAATTTTACGGCTTTTACGTCATGTAGTAGTAGATGAAGCTGTATGGAAATATCCCTTGATAATGGTATATAGTTGGTGACTAAGATCATTTCGAAAAAGAAAAGTGAGTAATTGCTGATGTTAAAGAACTAATTTCTTTCACTAATAAAAAAGATCGTTGAATTCAATGGTAATATTTACGTGAATTGTCATTCATTACTTTTTCTCATCAACGAACAGAACGTATGTTGAGCTTAATTGATAATAATCATATCTAATTTTCTGAATCTCTCATGATGCATAAAAAAATGGAACAATTTGAACTGTTTTTGATGTGGAAAGTCAAAACTTTTCTTTAATTGTCTTTGAAACGCATTTTTTGTTTACTCAAACTTGGTCATGCAACTATCTGTGACGTGTTCTAGAGCATTTATTAATATAGCTGTAGATTTTCTCTCTCATTCCCTTTTAAGCGCAAAATAATGATACTATTTTATTAATAAAATTAATAGACAGAGTCGCTTTCTTGATAGTGAAAAATATTGAAGAAGATCAGCATTTATAGAACATTATAAAAGTAAGAACTCCAACTTGTCTCGGCAGTCACTATAGCAAGAAACTAAAAACTGGTAAATATAACCCTACTCATATGTTGATTAATCAAAAGCCTACTCTTCAGTCAAATGCGCATTAATTTATTGAGAAATCTTAGTTTTACTATTTTTTCAAAAATGTACTTAATTTTGAGTTAAACTAGTTTAATTTTTTATCACATTATAGTGTAGCGCTGGTTTTCTACTATCAGCTTCACATGCTGCTGTCTGCGAACTTGTCGGATTTTAAGAACTACGTTTTTGTCGTGACATTTTCAATGCCTAAACCTTTGCGTAAAAACGTCTTGAAGATTTGAAATTATTGAAAAATATTATCGTGATTAGAAGATATCTTTAGGAAAAAAAATTGGAAGTTTAAGTATCACAGAAAATATCACTTAGTTACATTTAGTCATTATTACAGGACAGACCACTACTCATTTCGAATCAAAAGGTCAATAGCTGTTTTTTGATCAACTAGAGAACAAAAAGCGGTACATACTTGGGGTTTCCCTTATTTGACAGATAAGACTTTAAAGCATCTTTTCATAAGCACGAAACTTTTGAAGTTTATTTTTCGGAATCCGGTTTTCTAATGGAAGTCTCGAAAACTATTTTGTAGCTTGAAAATTTTATGAGCCTTGCATTAGACTCCGTGACTTTTTAAATCTTCATATATGGCCCCTTTTTCATCACCTTTATATTTTAATTAATATAACACAATCGGAATTAATCAGCTTAAGTTAGTTTTTCTTCGACGAATAGACGAAAAAGCTACTCGCAACAGTGATTAGGTATCATTAACATTCTTTGTCATCATATGACCCGAATGACCTCGTGAGAAGTGCATAATTAAATCTTCAGAGTATAGAAATCGGATTATTCATAAAAAATGGTTCTCACAAACTTTTGGTTAATCCCTGAAGATGTTAATTTTAGAATCGATGTCTCGATTCTAGATCGAAAGAGATGGAGACCAGCGGTTTCGTTTTCCGGTATTAAACACCGGGGGACATCGATCTATTAAAAAGTCAAAAATTTCCGACAGGTCTACCGTGGTGTACCCCGCATAGGAAAAACTGATGCATCTCCATTCCAAAAAAAATCATAACGACCTATACTTTAAACACATCTCAAATATAGAGTAACATCTTTTCTTTACATATGCACAAGTCCCAGTTTTCCATCTACCACGGTTCAGAAATTACAGCGGTTCTCCGAAAATATACCTATCGGACAATCCTTAGCCAGGGGAATCTTAGACGTATGTGCAGATAGAGGTTATCGACTATGCTGAATCTCGTGGCAATGTTAATTTTCAGAACAAAATGCAACAACCGAGTGACAATCTATAATAGGTGAAGTAACCCATTTTTGATTATTTTCATCAGAAACTAAAAAACTCATAACTCGGTCAAAATCCATCCAAACTACTTCAGAATGTCGGAAAATACTCTATTTCATCCACTCATCCTGATTCTGTAGTTTAAACCAATAAAAAATATTCCGTTTTTGATGAAAATGATCAAAAATGGGTTACTTCACCTATTATAGATTGTCACTTGGTTGTTGCATTTTGTTCTGAAAATTAACATTGCCACGAGATTCAGCATAGTCGGTAACCTCTATTTGCACATACGTCTAAGATTCCCCTGGCTAAGGATTGTCCGATAGGTAGATCTTCGGAGAACCGCTGTAGTTTCTGAACTGTGGTAGATGGAAAACTGGAACTTGTGCAGATGTAAACAAAAGATGTTGCTCTATATTTGAGATGTGTTTAAAGTATAGGTCGTTATGATTTTTTTTGGAATGGAGATGCCTCAGTTTTTCCTATGCGGGATACACCAGGGTAGACCTGTCGGAAATTTTTGACTCTTTAATAGATCGATGTCTCCCGGTGTTTAATACCGGAAAACGAAACCGCTGGTCTCCATCTCTTTCTGTTCAAAAGTTATTCAGAAAACATCGCAGGACACTATATTTTGAAATGGAAAATTCAGTTGTATCGGTTTTAATAAGGAGATAGTGTAGATCGTAAGTCAAACGCAGTTTGACTATAGTTTTGCATGGGTGAGAAGTATAGACATTGTTCGCGCTTCGATACAGAATTTTAATGCTGCATGACAAAAAAAGCGTCCAAAAGTGAACGCTTCGTCACATAGTAATACGATTTTTTGATGAATGGAGTGTTGTGGACACTTTTTTGCATGCTATTTTATTTCCTTAAGTTGAGGACTTGCTTTTAGTGTGTTTATTGGATGAACACTTTTTAGTATGTTTTTTGTCAACGCTTTCTAGTGAACGGACACTGGACATATTTCTTTTGCAAGTTTTTCTTGAAGCTTTTTCTTTGAAGCTTTTCTTGTACTTTTACTCTGTTAACAGAGTTCTCTTACCGTGTTTATAGGTAGTCGATATTATTAAAATGAAGACGGAAATATGAATGTACACTAGTCTGAGTTAGATTAGATCAATTCTTCGAACTTCCGTCAGAGCTTTGATCTGAGTTTGTTTAAGTGCGCGGATCGGGTGATTGTCTGTGATTAAATAATAAGCATCTTTTCATTAATTCAGTCTTCCTTTTAGTAATTATAACTAACTCAAGTAAAAAGAATGTCTGCATTATCCGTTAATAATTGTCTCGTATTAATGGTGTTTTTGGTTATGATCACTTTAATTGCGGCGAGAGTTCACTCCCAGCAAGAATTACTCGACACAACAATACACACGGATTATAAACGTTTAGCAAAATATTGTTACATACATGATTTTGAATTATGGGCTGATAGACAAAAAGAATTAACATTATGGTTAAGATTATCGAAAATAATGAAATTAAGTCGAAACGATTATCTAGAAATCCAAAAAGAAGTTGAACAATATCGACTTCAATATGAATGTTTAAAAATTATCGAACGATTACCTCTATCCATCGGACCTGGTAGGTAGACATAATGGTCACACTAGTTTTCTTATACTTGTACTTTGTTTATATCAAGCGTCAAAACTGTCGGAATAAAAGATCATTCACTGCTGATATAGGCTCAATTTATAGTTCTTACGATTTGAAATAACAGTCTATCACGATCTTATAATATCGTGACACTATACTGAAAGTTCTTCGTACAATATTCTATCGTATCGAATATCGGATTAAAAAAAATCTTCTTTATTCTAATCAAGTTAGTTTAAAAAGTTGAAAATAGAAACTTGTTCTAACAGACCGTTCACGACAGACTTAGACCAAGATATACATCAGAATACTATCCTCTGGTGGCCATGCTTAGATGGTACCCATCATTCACTCCAAGAATCAGTTCCCAGTAGGTGTTTAACAATCAAATCTGCTGCTAACACTTAATATTGTTCTTCAAACACCAACTTATAGCATTAGAACATGCTCTTACATAGATCAAGAGACCACATTTGGAGCACAAGTAGTCGAGGTCGAGTACTATCTATACTCAAGAGCATGTGCAAAAATAACTGTGTGTGAATATATACGCACAATAAGGAAGAATTTTACTAGCGCGAAGACTTTCGCATAATATTTTTAACCTGAAAAATATGTTAAAAACTTTCCAAAACTTTTGAGAATCTTCCTTAAGTATGTCGCTACAGCCTACTGTGCAAATAGGAACAAAAAAATTCAAACATTGATTGAACAACGTATGCAAGAAACGGCTGTTCCGAACGGACAATGGCTCTTAAATATCTTACGAGGAAAGGTCCCCAAGTGTGACCGTCAGTTTCAAATGGAATAGATACCAGTTACTTTTTTATATTTTTAAATTTTTAGTTTTAGGTTATCACAGGGTATCCATGGGTACCATAAGTCTTTTCTTCTTTTTTGTGATATCCTACTCTTGAGTAAAAATAAAATCTTATCTTATCTTATCTGTAGAACTCGACCAGATGATTACGATGGCATAAAGTATTTTTCCACATGGTTCTGGAAGACCAGGTTTTCTGAAAATCAGTTTTTCAGAAATTTTAAAAAATAACAAAAATTCTTTCTTAATGAGACATAATTGTAGTGCACACATTTCTGATTAAAATGACACATCTCCCAGCTCTACACAACCTTTCTTTGCAAAGTTATACAATTTACATACAAAGGCCTAAATTAATTTATTCTTATTTCTCTAGCTTTGATTTAGAGCTTTTTTGTAAATTCTATAGCTTTGCAACCAAAGGTCATGTAGAGCTAGAAGATGCCTCATTTTAATCAGAAATGTACGCGCTACAATTATGTCTCATTAAGAAAAGTTTTTCGTTATTTTTTAAAGTTTCTGGAAAACTGGTTTTACAGAAAACCGAGTTTTCAAGAGCCATGTGAAAAAAATGCTTTATGCCATCATAATCA